GGACAGTTGGAATATTGCCATTTCGCGTGAAGTATGCCCGGCCCTTAAAATGCCGAACATTAGTATACTATCAACTGTATGTCTTATTGCGTTGTTCAGTTTTTTGCATTAAATAAGATAACGAATATTAGCTCATTCTTCTTTCTCTACTTCATTCTTCAAAAACGACAGTGACTTCTTTTATGTGGTGACCAAGCCCATGATATCTGATTCTCTGATTCATAACTTCGTAATGTAGTACTCACTAAGATAGCAAAAATTTGAAAATTTTCAGAAAACTAGCGCAAAACTTGGTCATATGCACATGTGTAAGTAGGAAATACGACGATGTTGAATGGAAGTTTGATTGGGTTATGTTATATTAACATTTGAAAGATAGATCACTTGAAATTTCTAGTCGAGGAAAGAATGTAAAGAAAGAAATTTCTAACATCCTAGCAAAGATGTAAAGGAATTCTGTCTTTACATTAAAATTTCGACAAAGCAAGATAAGTTTTTGATATGTGAGTATTCAGTATTATACTTATTTCAGCTTGTAAGTAAGTAAAAAGTGAGTTGTAAGTAAAACTATATTGGTAAAGTATGAATGAACTTCTTAGTTATGTGTTCTAGGAAGGATAGTGATAGAAAAAATTACCACAAGACATAAAAGGGATGGCTTGTAAAGAGCGCATTCTGAGTTTGATCATATCAATCATTCAAAGGTTACAATTTGCTTCCATCCTCAAAGTTGAAGCAAGAAAGCTGAGAAAGATGAACTCGTGACAATCTTTCCCCAGAGATTCTCTTGTTCGAAGCACTTCCAATTTGAACGAGCAAAAGAAAAAGAGCTCTGGAGAATCGATAAGGAAGAAAGCACGAGAATTTATGACATAACAATGAATTTCGTACTTGTTTGAACAGTTTGTACAGAACTGTGCAGTTGGGTAAATAGCATTTTCGATGACGTCAGCATGAGAAAACGAATGCACATATAAAATTCTCCTTATCATGGGGATGGGGGGCGCATGTGGAAATTGAAGAAATGAAATTGAAGCGAAGATGACGTAAGAGGATATGTAATAAAATCCATACAATGGAAGGGGGATATAGCATGAAGGGTATGAGAAAAATCGAGGAGCTGCCAAGCTTTTCAAAAATGAGTGTGCCAAGAAAAGGCACGAAGAATGGGAGAGCGAGAGTTTCGCAGCATAAAAAAGAGAATCTGAAAGGCAAACAATGCATCGAGTAGCATTTTTTCTTATTCTGTTCTTGACTACTGCACTGAATATTCCAGAATTTCACAACTAAAGCGAAAAAATTCCTCATTAGTGCGCTGATATTGAAATAACAACAATGAAATGGAATAAAAAATTTGGATTCTTAAATGATTATCCGGAGATAAAATGAACTGAAGGAAAGTGAGTCCTAGATGGTGCATGTCTCTAACCTTTCCACTGAGACTTAAAAGAAACTAGTTCAGCTTTTACTATCAATGAGTCAACAAATCGACGAAAGACAAACAAAACGTTTGGAACGCTTCAAAGCACCCTAACATATGTGAAAATCTCAAGATCTTAGAGTTTTAGTGGAGAAGCACATAACAATCAAACTAGCTTCACGTAATACATTGATCCATTCGTCGATCCGGAGAAAAAAGGGAATGACTGAAAATGTCTAGGAATAAACAAAACTCGATAAAAATTTGGCTACTTCTTGTTACTATAATTGCACAAATTCGGCACATATCAATTAATCGTTAAAAATCATGCAAACCACAGACTGCGAGTCAATGCAATTTACACTCGATTTCTTTATATTCAGTATAGTGCGTATTGAGCTCTCAAATTGAGATCAAATTTAGCCATATTTATTCTAATTTTAAGAGTTCTTGTCGATCCAACTTACTTTCTTTTCGATAGTAATATTTTGTGGTTTTTACAGCCTCTTGTCGATTCATGCAAAATATTTTGAGAAGAAAATGACAACTGAGCAGACTGGAGCAAGAGTTGCGAAGTGTGTGCATAGTGTGTCATGGCACACCATACATGCAACGAAGAATTGTAGCTCAAACCTGAAAAGAAGTGGTCGGATAGTTAAAAGGATAGTTTGTGCCAGTCAATCTGTATTCTCTTGCAAAATTATTGCCGAACATTTATTCAGATTATCGAATCGTTTGTTTTTTTAACCTCGCTGATGTTTGAAATCAATACAAGAATGTTAGAAAGCTACCATAACTTATAATAACGAGCTAAGGGTTGTTTACGTTTGTGTGTGTGTGTGTGTGTGTGTGTGTGAATCTCTGTCTGTCACGAAATTCGTAGAGCGTGTTCCAGCCAACGTCTTGAGCCCAAATTTTGCAGAGCGCACGCTACCAGCATGAAAGCTCACTATACAAAAGCATGAGCGGATCCGTTGAGTGGATCCATTGAAAATTGCGCGTCAAACGGATCCATTTGGCTTCTGGCCAGCGAATTTGGGTCCGCAGTACTACCTTCTGCAGAATTAAGGATATATTCGACAAGCTAATGTGCAAGCCATGGACGTTAGCCTAGAAAAGCAATGAAAAGTCTACTACTTTACGGAAACAGCGCCAAAAAGCATTCGCTGTGTAAACGGTCAATTCTTCAAGATTTTACCTGATTATTTGAGAAGATTTTTGAACAGAGGTGTAGCGCACTATGTCTATTGTCCTTACGGCGACTACCAAGCCATAAAAATTCCAAAAGCTTATTCGAATTTGCATTTGTTCTTCTGGGAAAGATTTTATACACGCGAAAATACCGATTTCACATGGAAGACTGCTACGAATGAGCAGTTGTTTACGAATTATTCGTGATAGCCTACATAACGCGGTGAGTTTCAATGTCATTATTATGCGGGAATGAGTAAGGCAGGTGCTATACTCCTCGAGGAGTATAGCATAGCGACGGGCGATCGCCAGTCGCCAATACTGGCGACTGTGTCTTCTATGCGTATCGATCGCTAACAAGTTACCACAGTTACAACAAGTTACCGTCCAATCGATACACATTTATTGTGTAGTCGCCAACACTGGCGACTTGCGATCGCCAGTCGTAGCGACTGGCGATCGCCAATATCGGCGACTACATGTTTGATGCGTATCGATTTGACGTGTGGTAACTTGTTCGGCGACGGGCGATCGCCAATCGCCAAACAAGTTACCACACGTCAAATCGATACATATCAAACGTGTAGTCGCCGATAATGGCGATCGCCAATATCGGCGACAAAAATCGCCGGTTTTACACGTATTTGATGCATATCGATCGTCGCCATGCTATACTCCTTGAGGAGTATAGCGCCTGCTTAAGGCATACAATAGGGCCAGTGCGAGCCTCTGCGAAGCAGAGGTGATGCACTGGCACTCAAATAATATGAACCAATTTTTAAAATATCGCTTTCCAATTTAAAAAATGATAACCGATGATGGTAGTAGCATATTCTCTAAATCAATGACAGGAATCCCATCCAGCATTCCTCCTCATTCGATACGCTCCAGATCGTCTTGACCATTCTGCTATAAAATTTCACGCGTATTGAGGCGATAGGTGCACAGACCTTTTTTCGCTGATATTTCGCAAACTAGAACGAAGCGCACAATTGACACAATTTTTGATATTATCACTTTTCTTTTGTGTGATGAGCCATACAATGCTGCAGCAGAAGAAAACTGTGAGTGAATGGAATGTCTTCTGTAACGAAATGGACATTGGAAAAAAATGTAAAGAATGTAAAGACAGATTGAAAAGAGGCTTCAAAGAAGATAATGGTGTTTTTCTAAATTGAATTATGATTCTACGATAGTCTAAAACTAGCGCTATCGTAATGTTTAAAATAAGAAGGTCGATTCACATCTTCTTGAGATTCAAAAAAGTTGTATTACGTTACTGTTACTTTGCACAAACCGTCAGAATCAGACTATCTGCACTAAGCACAAAACTCAATATTTTAGGTCATTTGAAGCAAGCGCTCGTCATTCACACTTGTTCCATCAAAGTTTTTGTAGTCCAAGAGGAGCTGTGAACGAACTGAAGGGCCGCAAGATATGTTATGCATCAGAAATACGTGCATCTGACGGAACACCATACATGCACATGATTGACTTTTTTGTGATTACGGCACTTCATTTTTTCGACATTTTCTTTGGAAAACTACTATTTTCGGATTGCAAAGTGCAAGAGAAGCTTTGCGTGATCGCAATTGCTAGACTGAAATCTTAGAAAATTTACTTTCGTAAAGAAGGTAGAATGGTTAAATCTGGGTCGTGAGTGTCCTCCATAGGAAACAAAATGGCTCCCCCAAAATAATCGTGTAGTGGAGGAAAAAATAGTTGATTACTTGTAATTATCTCCATCCCCCATCCTTATCTGTCCTATAAAGACGAGCAGCTGAGCCAAACATTGGAGAGCTACACATTCCATGAAAGGTACAGATAGCCCAAGATTTGGGCTATTCCAAAAAATTCTGCATTCAGCTGCTGCATTTCTACTTTTTAGCATGTTTGCTATCGAATTCATATGTCACATCGTTATTCTGGTGGAGCATCAAAGCCGTTTTTTATATGAACAAACACATTATGAGACAGGAAGCTAACATGAAGCAGGGGTAATTTCCTAGTAAGACAAGGGCGATTTCGAGATTTAGACGAGCTTTCGACGTGGTTTGATTAGAGACAGAATCCAGCATTGGCAAGCATGGTGGACAAAGGCCATAAAAGCATTTTATTTCCGAACGCATCAGTGTGCAATCAAGAGATTCAGCTTTATGAGGTCTACAAGAAGCACGTATCATTGTGCGTAGGATGAGAACAAGCGAAATCGGATGCAAATTGGCGTGATAAATAGATAAATAAACACACAAATAAATGATATGAAGTTTCTAGCAGCAATCATTTGATTTTTCTATTTGCAAAGCAAATCGTATGATGCGAACAAAGATACGAAGATTCGGATCAAATTAAACTGCTACTGAGAAAAGAATGGATTTTGCATATTGCGTTATAAAGGGATACTATGTCTGAAGCTGCAGTGATGTTGAGCGTATGATTCTTTTGTTCTACGTGGAGGATTTGGTTTCCCTAAAAAGCGAGCCTTGAGACAAAATACATCATTCTGGAATGGAAGGAAGGAAGGATAGTAATTGAACCTTCTTCAGCGAATATGTAAGGCGATTTTGTGAACAACGTTCCACTGCCTCTCAGTTTCCGCAGGATCAACTGATATACACTGATGAGTAGAACACCGCTCACAACGACACCAAGAAGAAAATGACCTACCAACGACAAGGCATGAGAAATTTCAAAGTACGCAACAAAAATAGGTTAGCTTCAGTACGCATTTCTGGATAAAACCCCATTTAGTTTTATCTTATTGGCCCCTTTTTAACAACCGGGCGCTGTACGGTTTTTTTCACATGATAGCATGACATTCTCGGGCATTTACATTCACTGACACAATCTCGGAAGGAAGAACAAACGGTGCGACATGGTCCGTCTTGAGGTACATGGTGGAAGGTGGACGTAGCCCGCAAAGTGATCTGAGTAAAAGTCGTTGAGACTTTCTCCAATGATATTCGGAAAGCAGTTAAATCCCCGATTGTCTCTGGAGGGGTTTTGAGATCAACAAGCTGTACCTGCGAGTAATATAATTGTCCGACACAGTGAGATACGGTCAGTTCGTGCAAGGATACACGCCGCGCTCCACCAAAAGGCACTTTGCGGGCCGCGGGTGTTCGCAATAATTGTCTGAGATCATGATCTGTCGGACCAAAGCTCGACCTCGCCATGGACAAACCCAGTGTCATTGTAGGAGTTGGCACGCATTCAGTAGCCTTTCTAACCATAAAGTGGAATGTCAGAGCATGCCAGCAAAGGACATTGCTGCCACCAAATCCTTTATCCTTCGTTCTTTAGTTTACTCCTATTTCCAATAACAAAGCCTCCTTCGAAATTCACTGCTCAAATTAATGAATTTTTGCAGCTCTGGAAAGCACGGCTACAAACAGTGCAAATGGATGTTTCTAGTCAAAGAATAGGGCGATTGCTTTTCGCGCGTTCGTGTATTTCATGAAGGCTTGTTCACTTCCAGACCAGTTCTAAATTTCTCAACTTATAACAAGTGTAAGACTTGAAGATAATGCCATTTGTTGCACATTATAGTACACATACCTCGCCACTCGTCCTCCCAAGGGTAAAAATTGCTGATTGAAATTTGACAACAAGTTGTAGCAATGAATCAAAATCTGTAATGATTCTTACCGCTGTATTGCTCTCGATGCATTTCAAAGCTAATACTATTCCTGCAAAAGCTTGATGAATTTATCAAAGAGCAAGACTAGTGCTATTCTTTCCAGTCACAGAAAGCATTAGCTAATCGCCGTATTCAGACATGAGAATTCATTGTCAGTAAATCTACTGACATGTCAAAAATGGCAGTTCTTTTGTACCATTGTGGAGCAAATAGTTAGTGGATTGCTTGCAACTTTTTATTGTATCTGCGTATAATCATCCCATACGCTTCGCCTTAGATGCTTGATAGCTCGTCAGGAATTTTTTGTTGAACACGATTCTGCAGTTACTGCGTACTGCAGGAAGTGAAGGCTGGGGTAGAAATAGGGTAAGGTGTTTAGGTTGCAAACGCGTATTTGTCACAGAGCGTAAAAAATTGATCTAGATATCGCCTCATTTGCCTAGAGCTCGTAATATGTGCAATAGTGCTGTGATATGATATATTTACCCCAACTGCAAGGACGAAGTTCCTGACATCGCAAGGCACATCAAACACATCAAGCGCTGTTCATCTGTCTACCTAGGGATGACAGGAATGAACTAAAGGGACTCGTTATGATGCATCTGCTGTCTCAAGTATGGGCTTTTTCAAGAATAACCGCACATAGCACATCGAATAAGGCAAGATTTCAAGCAGATCATCATGTGGGTCAACTTTCTTTCGTGTACCTACCGTACCCCGATTAACAGTATCATAAGATGTGCCACACCAAGCTGAGTCTAATGGTGCCCTTGGATTCAGAATTTACCCACTCTGGCTACGTACGGCGATGCTACTCTAATGTCACCTAACTCCAATCGGCGCCTGACTCACGCGATCATTGACGGAGTTCACTTTAAACAAATTTTTTGAAGCAGTAATGGCGGTGTTGTACATGGCAGCAGATGCAAAATGATGCAACAAGGTTAATTGATGGTTTTGACATGAGCATATCAAAATTATGAAAAGTGCAGACAACATCGTGATCAACTCTTTTCCTGCAGTCGCATTGGTCCTCCTCACGCCAGTTAACATCAGCACATGTCACCTTTGAGTTGTCTTTAAACTGAAAAAGTCACATAAAAGCCCAATCAAATAATGTTACAAGGCAGATTTGCTGTGGAGTAGTACCAGGACGCAGTCAAATAGATTCTGCATAAGCATCTTTCTAGTTCGTTCTCAAAAAAAAGCTGTCACTCTGTAATCTCCACTCATTCAGTGAGGTTAAGAACTTACTTGACTTTTTTAAAATCGGACATCTAATCGACGATAGTCAAAATCAGACGGCGATAATTTTCACTTCCCAATAACAGTAAGTGTCACTACCACATTTTCCTTTGGAAAATATTAGGATACAGTCAACTATACAGCTTAGTGCTTACGTCAAGTCCATTTATGGTGTGATATACGTTCAGATCATTTCCTTTCATCGTGTAACTCGGGCATTGGAATTTCTCAAGGAAAGTCTTTTTGACAGTCAGCTCACCAATCAGCTCACCAGATTTGAATTAATAGGCATAATTTTTTGTTATGGCTTTGAGGAGCTTCCCTTGCATCGAATCGTTCAGACTGCTTTTTGGGCATTGGTAAAGGTCCCCAAGCACTTTGCCATGCTGCGGTTCAGTTCTTTCAATTCAGATTTAAACTAAAAACACATTATTTTTCAACCTGCTCGTAGCCATAGTGTCACTCAGACATCATACAACTGAACAGTATTTTACGTCAGATTCTTGAAGGTCCTATTAATTGGAAGTAACGACAAAAGCTTACTTTCTTTTTAGCTGATGGGTTGTCCGGTCCCCCATCCTATTATTTTAGTGTCACCAACAATAATCGTTGGCTGTAACATACGATAGAGGGGAATAGTGGCGTAGCGGTATGAGATGCAGCTATGAACAAATCAAACCCAGTTCGATACCAGAGTAGTCTGTGAAGAATAAAAGCACTACTTGGTATTCCGCTGGCCCCGCAAGTCACTGCAATAGGATAGGCTCGCACGCATTCATTCCCCTTCGACTATTAAGTAGTGCGTTTTGGCCATGCCCTCAGAGGATATTAAAGGCGCCGAATCCTTTATTCTTTATTCTTTAAAATACGATGAAACCTTTCCTACCCCAGCTATGTTCAAAATTTGAGCTCTTTCAACAAATATCCCATTATGCTCAAGTATGCTCAAGGTGGCTAGAATCCTTGCTCCACTTTGCGCACCACCACATGAGAACTCGTAGGGTTTAACTGAAAAGTGGGTACTTTTTACATTACGTATAATTGTGCAGTTATAATTGCGAAACTACTGAAACGAACTTACTTTTTCAGGGAAATTAGAGAAAACTTTACCGGTTCCAAAAGGCCACTTACTTGCTTCACCTTGGATGAGCCTCTGAAGAAAATTAGTAGTTCTAACATAAAGCCGGGACATTTCTTACCTCAGTGCAGTTCTCAGCTCATAGCTAGCTTTGAAAGGCAGATTCCTGAGCTTCTCTTCAATTCGTTGCGCCTGAAACGGAATTTGTCACTCTGCGTACATTCACACAAACTCACCGAGTTATTTTCGTCAGCATTAGGGGGCAATATCTCAGAGCTTTTTTCTCCACTTCCAGGACCGGAAGACTTCAGGCACAGGGGGCAATCTTCGTCTCCTTTTGCAAATCTTCATGGGTTACTGCAACAGTTGCACAGAGAAGGAGGGTGGGGCCTGAGTGCGCGGCGTACACGGCGTATGTGACGTATGCAGCGTAAGCTCGACACATAAGAGCCTACGCGACATACGCTGCGTACGCCGCATACACAGCGTGGTCTTGCCCAGCCATTAAATATCAATCCAAGATCAAATCAAAGAGGGGAAATGATTTAACAGAGGACGACTACTACAATCCTTTGGTTTTCGGATGAATAATTATATTTCCTATGACACTCATCACAGCATGCGGACGTAATCATGAACTGTCTAGTGATATCCAGGGCTGTAGTAAGCCCTCAAACCTGGCGGCAGATTTCGCCGGCAGGTCGCCAGCACCGTGCTTTGAGGTCGCCTAAAGCTAAGATTTCACATTAGGGCCATTTGAAGATTTTTCATCTTCATAAATTCCTTTATGAAGATGTCAGCGTGACTTTGAAGAAGCATACATTGAGATTGGAGATAGTAATCTCCTATAAAAAATTTGGAAAGGGCAGGCTGTGCTGCTGGCAACTTCGTGGGCTACTTGCCGGCAACTTACCGGCAGCTCGTCGAAATGCGAAAAGAGCAAGAGAAATAATTGTTTTTTTGGGAGAGAAAGCTGCCAGCATCTCGACGTGGCCCTACCCGCGGAGAGCAGGGGCGTTGCTGGCGGCGTCTCTGAGTTTGCCACACATTTTACGCCTCAGTCAACGTTTTCAATGCCACACATTTTACGCCTCAGTCAACGTTTTCAAAAATATTTATTCTCTTCAAAATGATAACTTTTGTCCTTATTTAGACATTTTTTGTTGAACTATTGATAAATACGAGCGAGAATGCAGTGTTATCGCTAGCATTAGTCAGCTTCTTTTTTTTCTTTCACTATCTCGTTTTTAACGATTCGGTGTCTCTTGTGCTTGTCAATCAGCTGTTCTTTGAAGTTTATATCCTGCGCTTGAAGTGGACTCATATAGGTCCGAGCGTGCGCGGTGAAACTGTTTTGCGGCGAGCTGCGTCCCAAAATTTCGCGTGGATAGTGATTGGGGACTAAAGTTATATGACTTTATCAAAATCAACGATTTTCCGCGAGCTACTGCCGGAGTGGCAACTTTTCGCGATGCGTACCAACTTGCCGGGATCTATGATGGCACCGGGGTAGATTACTACCGGATCCGATATTATCAATTTGAATAGTCATCAAAAACTTTAGCCTACTTTATCTTAGCCTAAGTTACGTCAGCGGCGTATACAGGAAGTTGAAATCTTTTTCTTACCATTGTGAGCACATAATTGTAATAATAATAGTGATTGTATAGATTGAGTCTAATTTTATCTACTTTCTTATGTAAGCAGCGGCATTGGCAAGATAGGTGTGACTCGATGACTAAAAAGCCGGTTACATTATGTGATTATGAAGCTGGTCTCATTTTCCAGTTTGTCCGGCGTTCATATAGCAAGAAGAAAAACTCAAGAAGATGTGCAGAGTTCAGAGGATTAACAGAATGATACCTAAGTGGCTCGTCAGCGCGATAGAAGCAATGCGCAGTGCAGTTTGGGACGAAACGTTCGTGGTACTTAAAGGCACCGTCCAAAGTTGAGGATGTTGAGCTTTTGGCAACATATAACAGTAGGGCCTACGAACAAGCCAATGGCCAAGTCGCGGCGCAATATGCCGTTTCGGAAGCGAGAAAATCGCTTCGAAATAGCGAAGATGCATGAGGACCTCCAACCATGCCCGCTCATCCAATCACCGTTCTGCAAAGCCGGCCTGTGGGTTCTCCGGAATCGGGATTGTCGGGGTTTTCGCGGATTCTCGACATCATATTTGGAATCAGGGACATGAGAAGGCCCTGCAACAACAAAAACCGGAAAGTCGAGAATCTGGGTGGACGGTGCCCCTAAGAGAACGTATTGGCTGCAAAAGCAAGATCACCAATCTTGTAAAGTTGCGAGACAAAATTGGGTAGCATTCTCCTTGTCTTTCTCAGTCGCCTACAAAAAACAAATTCATATTCCAAAAGCATCGTTCAATAACCTGCCGTTCTTCCCTATTTGCCACAAAAGCTGAGCAGGTCTGTCCGCATACTGCATCCAAGCTTACCGTTAGCTAAGTGTCAAAGAATCCTGCTTGTATAGCTTGAATCTAATGTCGCACAAGCTCAAAGCTGACAAGGGAAGCGTGTTTACTCCAAGTGGCCTTTTCAGATGAGTTCCATAATGCTTTGGAGAGTATTGCACGGTGATTCCAAATCTGCCAAGCTCCTCTGGACGCCTAGTTATGACCGCTTTATGGAACGCAAAATGAATGCAAAAAATAGGTAAAATCGAGTGTTAGAATTTCCAGCGTTCAGATAAAGAAATGATAAGTACAGCATATTAGACAGAATGTATTCATTGCATAAACAGTTCTGATACTTCTGGACCATTTGAGCATTTGGGCGATTTCGTTCCGGTTTTGCGTTAAATTTTTTGACCTGAAGAACGCCCATAACTTGGCATGTAGAGGCGCTTGGCAGATTTGGAAGGCAGATTTGAAATTACCGTTTGATGCTCTTCAAAGCAGTATGAGTCTCATCTGGAAAGGCCACTTCGACTAAACACGCTTCTTTTGTGAACTGCTTTCTGATCCTGGGTGAGAGCCAGCCCCATGTGACTGACGTGCGACATGACGAGTAAGGAAATAATTCACCTCATTGTTGCTGAAAGATCGAAAGTACGAGGCCACATTATTAGCGTGACACAATTTGCCGCATGTTGTGACTGTACATGTCAGCTGTGCTGTTGAGAGACTACAGCATCAGTGAGGCTTACTGGCAAGTTTGTAATGAGCTATACGAAAGTACAGCTTGTATAGCTGCAAAGCAGATTCATTTCTTGAGCAAACTCTACTAGATTATGTGCAAAACTCGCTTTCCCGCCTTCATGAAAACATCGCCTGCATTGAAAGCTGTTGCTTGCACAGATGGACGAGGATGTCCACTAAGTTTTCGAGACCAGTGACCATGGTAACGTGTGGCTGTCATCCTTAGATCTCAACCCCACCGAACTTAATTTCACTGTAGAACAGATCCAGTCGAAGGAACGATAGAATGATTGGGCATATCGTGCTTAGCAGGTCATGGTACCGCTTTTACTCAGTGTGACGAGGGAGGGGATGGAAGCTGAGAAGAAAAAAGATATGCGAGATTAGATATATGTACTTTTTTGTCTATCTATCTTATGCAGATTCGCATACTCTGAACAGGATGAATTTGGGCACTGCTACTCAAGCTGGCATTTTCACAACCTTGTGTAAGCCCGGTGTGCTTCTCCGGAGATTAGAATAAACACAGTTAAAGTACTGAGGACCTATTCTGGTAATGCCAGACATTTCTCGAGAGTACGAATGTAGCATGAAATTGGGCATTGTTCACTTCAGGGTCTACGCAGTGATAGGCACCGGATTCGAAGTGCACATGCGAAGATCCTGAAGGAGCTCGAACTATAGCTGAAGAATGAGAATTTTTAAGAAAGAAATGGGCGAACGTTTTTTCCGGTTGGACCCTTTCAATTCATATATCACAATTTTTTCATGAATCTATGTACCCTAAATCTCACATATAAGTCCTCCCATAAGATAAGTCCGTCAACAGATAAGCTTTTAGATAGGTCCGCTTTTTAGACTCAATTAAATGCACTTCAGATAAGTCCGCCTACAGATAAATCCACTTTCTTTCCATTATAACTACCCTGAAATCTTGTCAGATAAGTCCGAAGACTGTTGGACAAGTCCGGACTTACAGTCGAGTAGATTTTCCGCTAATATAGTGTGCTTGCACTGAAGGTGAAATGCATTACAATTTGCGCGTGAACAAGTAGCCACGCCAGTAATGCCAACAATTTGCGCGCGCAAATGGCCGCCGTCACAGGCGTAGCTATTTATTTATGCGCAAATTTTACCGCATTTCACCTTCAGTGTAAGCAACAATTTTAAGCGGAAAATCTACTCGACTTTATCTGTAGACGGACTTATCTGATGGGAGAACTTATCTGCAAGATCTTGGCGGTGCGAGAGTGCATTTTCATCGATTTTTCTTGTCAAAAAGCGGACTTATCTGTAAGATTTTAGGATATATTGAAAGTTGTATATTGGGATTACGGCCCGAGTGGACCAGCGCGTAAATGTTTCATTTTCACCGAGCTGGCGGTGTTCAATATGCTTGCCTTTCTGTTTGAACCATGTGATCAGCTGCTCCCTGATTTGATTTTGTAATCACACCAAAAAGTGCGGAAGGTTCCAAAAAGGTCAGGGATTTTGAAAAAACCTTGCCTACTCAAGAATCGACTTCGTTTTGAAACTTCGTTTTGAACCCCATGCTTTTAGCTATGTGGAGCCTTCCAGTCGGTCCAGAATCAAGCTATCAAAGTTTGTGTGAAAATAAAGAAAGTTTACTGTTCATTGTCAGTCGTCTCACTTTCAAATTAATTTCTTTTCAATCGTTCGAGACATTATCAAATTAAAACTTTCATGATACACTTATGGAAAAAAATAATCATGTGGTAGCCTTGTCTCTCAGACTAGGTTAGCAAGAATGTAACGATATAGTTTGCATGGGTGACTGTTACTTGACTGCAGATATCAAAAGGAAGTTACTGTAACCTACTAATTTGTTACACATCTTTCTCGCTTGCCAAAAAACATTCTTAAATTATCTGTAAGAGCAGACTGGAGGTTAGGATAGCGAATTTACCGGCCAACTTTATCCAAGCAGCCATGCAGGGGAGAGCCAAAAACTACATGAGATTCGCCAGCAAGGCTTACGCGTTGGAGATTACATACGGTCTGTCTCCAAAGATCAGGCCGTTGGCGTAAGTTTACTCACTCGCAGTGCTAGCGGTTTGTGCTGCCTATGCGCTCAAAGTGGAGAGACTGAAGAAGAGCAGAACGGCGAGCAGTGATTGTGACGAAGACCTTAGGCTGGGTTCATACTGATTCCTATGTTCGGGAACTGTTCCCGCGCAGTTCCCGCACAGTTCTCGCGCTGTGCTGGAACTGTTTCGGAACTGTGCTGCATGCGCTGCAGCCGCCCAGCACCGTTTTGAACGGCGGGAGTTGGAAGATTTTGACCGTTCTCAACGGTTTTTCTTCCACATTTCTCTCATTTTGACCTTATTTCTCCACCCCGCTTCCGTTTTTGATCAACCGAACTTCACTCGAAGCGGGGTTGAAGAATGAGCGCTTTTCTGCTCTGCGTATACGACAAAACGTGTGTTCTTGTGCTTGTCCATTCTCTCTTCGCTATTTTTGCTCAAAATTATTTCACTAGTTCCAGGAAGCTGCTGCATAGTTTCCATAGCCATCTGCCACGAATTAGGGAGCAGGAACAATTCTGAAACTGCATAAGTTGGGACTTGTCTCTTGTTTTTGATGAGTTTCGTTTTGAGCGTTCTCAGCCGCTTTCCTTTTTCCACATCGTTGCTTTCCTGTTGTTTCTTCTATCCGCTTCTCGTTGTGATGAGAAAAGCTGCGAGCTTGGGGGTTGAGGATTGAACGTTGTTTTGCCTCATGTATCCAGGAAGAGGGGCCTTCGTGTGCTTGTCCATCTTCTCTTCCATTTTTGTTCAGGCCTACTCCATGTGTTCTAGAAACCTGTCTATGTCAATTTCAATACAGATGCAAGACTACGCAGCTCCTTCTCAGAACAAATGAAGTAGTTTCAAGCAAAAATCACGAAGAGAGAATGGACGAGCGCAAGAATACACGTTTTGTCGCTTACGCATAGCAGAAAAACGCTCATTCTTCAATTCCGCTTCGAGTTCGAAGTTCGGCTGATCAAAAAGGGAAGCGGGGTGGAAGAGTAAGCCAAAATGAGAAAAATCTGGAAGAAAAACCGTTAAAAACTGTCGAAATTCTCCAACTCCCGCCATTCAAAACGGTGCGGGGCGGCTGCAGCGCATGCAGCACAGTTCGAGAACAGTTCCCGTACAGTGCGAGAACTGTGCATGAACATGGGAGACAGTATGAACCCAGCCTTGGCGACACATATTCCCGCCATGCCAAAATTGGTTTGATTAAGATTGGAGCAGATGTACAGGAGCGAACTGTATCAATCAGGCTAAGGAAGCAGGTGTAAAACCAAACTGGAAATGACGACGAGTGAACTAGTAGAAAATGTGAACAGCAAAATACTTGAGATAACACAAAGTTCAATTGGTCAATGCACGTTGGTACAAACCAAGCAAAATTGCACATAACAGCATAAGGGTCTCTGAAGAGGAAAAAAACCTCAAGACACCCTTTTTGTGCGTGGCTAAACATGTAAATAGCCAAAAATCGAAGGGGCTAATGCAAACAAGCAGCATATCACTGGGTGCATCATAGAATGCTAACTTCAAACTTGCCCTCTTTATCTGCTAAAAGCCTTTGCTGACGAAGTTATGAGCTTTCTAATAGCAAAAACGTGCGTATCTGCGAAATCAGACTTACTACTGTCTTTTCTGCTCAAAATTAATTGGAAATATATGAAGTAAAAAACAAAAACCATTCCCGTTTAGGAAAGATAAGTCCGTACCATAAAATCACAAATGACCAAGCTTATGGTGCTGACATAATGTTGGTAGTCGTGAGTGGAAAGTGCCAGAGAAATTCCTAATCCCTTATCACTGAAAAGAATTGGTCCATCTGTTTTGAACAACGTTCCTGCCCAGATCCCAGAGGTCTGACCAGGGTACATTGCCCATAACCGATAGAACCTGTACTTAAGCGTATAAAAGAATTAAGTATTTGGATGAAGCTGGAGAGACAGCCTATTGGGAGTCTCTTACGCGTGGGCAAAATGGGCATGTCACGCGTCCGTTCTGAAAAGCGACAATATAATAGGTAGAAGGGACTTGTAAGTCTTTTTGACAGTTCCAGGTGTGCGACGTGGCCGAAGCTTTGACGGCGTCGACGGCAACGATTCCGACGACGCTTCCCACTCGCATTGATATTCCATACACGACACACCACGCATAATGGTGTGAACGTAACACCAGAAGCACAATGCTTTCTCCTGCCAGGCTCTAATCTGAATGTCGCTTTAATTCTCCCACAGAAGAAAGTCTTATGGGGAGCTTCAAAAGGACAGCCTTGAGCAGCTAAGCCAAGCATTCGGATTGTCACTAGTTGATTGCGACTTGCGAGTGATGCTCTGCACCTAGCTTATCAATTTCAATATTTGTACCGCAAAAATTCTAAAAGTAGGGATGCTTAGTCATAAAAAACATTATAAATTTTCATAATCAAATGACTAGCAATGCTAAGAGAAAGCTAGCCGGCTTTGATGCCATAATGTTATGTCAAAGGCACAAATCTTTCCAGCTTGATCAGTTTCCTATGATCATGAGGTACTATGCCACGATCAAAATCGACATGTTGGAGTGGCACGAAATTTCTACCGTAAAATTTCACAAGTCTTGTTTATAATGTACTCGAATTTGGATGGCATGTTATAGAGAAGCAATTTTTTGCTCATTTCCAACAAAAAACATAATTCAAACACGTTGCACGGCGCTGAGAGTCGGATATAGATCAGTTGTCGTTAGCCGCGAGGAAGCGAAAAGTAAAACATTTCGGAAAGCGATCCTTATGCCGCACGACTTATGCTTTTTATAGACAATACCAAGCCCTGTATATGGTTCCATTGGTCACGAAGGGGTGGAAGACATTAGGTCGCCGAAAAAGGGCGGTCCCCGCGGTCATTTGCGACAAATACGCACCCTTGTACATGCGCGGACATGCGTTCCTGCAGGGAATCCGCGCGGGACTCTTCCAAATTCGGCGACCTAATGTCCTCCACCCGTCACGAAGTCCTTTGGCGGGTTTGGTCTGGTATTTTAGAAGAAAAATTCTTCGCGGCTTATACACCTGCAAATAGGGTAGCCGATTGAAACATCGACGAACCCAAGCCTTAGCTCAGATGAAGTAAGATACCACTATGTTTTTCTAGGACGCTGCCAAGTATTTCATGCTCATGAGTCGGCCAACATATCAAAGGAAGGCAGGGTGTCCATCAAAAATCTTGCTTTCCATATTTTCATTCTGAAGCCTTTTCGTGTCTCTGATTAAAGTTATGAAGTTCAACCGAAGGCCTAGAAGGTTTTTACTACCTGGGTTGGCGGAGCTTGATAAGATTCGGGCGTGGCTTAATAACACTTTCCCGGCTCCAAGTTTATTATCTCTAATCAGAGACAACATTGGTGAACAGGACCAACGCCCGGTCCTAGGGCCACATTCAGGAAAGGTACTAATTGAAGGAGCTCAGGTTTTGCATGAACACTGTCACTTTAATCTCTTTCTGCTTGGGTTTTTCTTAAAGTGATTATGTGCATCATTTGATTTACAAAGAGTATAGCACCAGTTATGACAAACAACTGTAGGTTCCAGGATTCCAATTTCCATTGAAAGTGCTTGCATAACACCAGCTAGATCGATACAAATCCTGATTTGGACAGGCAGTAAACGATCAATTCTGAATGGCCGAGCCATAACAATCATATAGATGCAAACGAAGCTTTTTCTTGCGTAAAACGAAAGCAAATGCGAGCTTTTACAGTTAGAGTGAAATAAAACGTTTAGAATGATTCTTTCAATCGTTGGTTTTGTGTTCGAGTTCACTTGGTGTGATCGAGAAGAAAAATCGTAAACTAACGAAAATATTGAATGTACTAACTGATAACCTGCTCACCAAAAAATCGAGTATGTCAGTTTTTATGAGTTAACTTCACAATTTTCCAATTATGGCGTTACAACCCTTCCAAAACATTCAAGAAAGCGAATTTCAATAGATTTAACACATGTTTTGAAGACTGCATTATTAGATACAATTAGACCTACCGTATACCTCTGTTGCTAACTGCGTCTAATCGCTCTTAGAAGAGAAAAAACTGACCTGCTTCGAAGAGTTTCTGGATAAAGTGAACAGCGAATAACAATCAGGTGCGGATGGCAGCTATGGGGCTCTAAGCCGAAATAAATCGATGTGATCATATATGGAAAAAGGGATTCAGCAGTAGCCGTCGTTGTTGTTGGGTGTCTGCCGGATAGTACTGATGATCGGCGGCGTAGGAACGATTTTTCTAATTTCTATTCACCGTCACTGCCCCCGTCGCGGTGGTGTTCGTTCATGAATCGATTCTGTCATAGTGTTAATAAATACATGAAAGCACGAATGGATTTGTGCTGGCAAACCCATCGTTGCATTCAAAATTCCCATTCACAGAGCAAGGCTATAGCAAACTTTGAGGTCTTTTGAATAATATACTATACCAAACCATATAATGTGGAAAAGTTCTGCACTTTCATTTCCAAAATCCCATTCCTAAAATTTCGACTAGATGTTGAACCGAAAACAGATGCTGGCGCTCAGGTTTGAACAGAGGGAGGAAACCATTCAAGTTTTGCAAATCCAAAGAATTCACAGCAGCTGCTCAAAGATTTTTCCAAAGTAATACTATATTTCCTTAATGTCCATTCCCTCTCAGGAAAGGTTGTGCTGTTTGATTTGTGTTTTATTATTCTTATGATGAACGTTCGTGTGAAGTTATGACACTTTGAAATATGACCTAGGAGAAAAAACAATTTTTCGTCGCTTTCAACGGTCTCTTTATAATTATACAGTCAAACCAAAGTACTGAAATAAGGAAACAAGAATTGAAAACTTCGCTACTGACAACCAATCTTCTCTTAGCACTTTCCGTGACTGTCCCAAAATTCACGAAGTCCGAGCGTTCTTCTTTATCAGGTTTTATCAGTGCAAAGTGCCAAAAAAGTTCGCCAATAAGCTACGAAAACAGTTCAAATGCAATTGTAAAAAATGCTTTTTTACTTTAATTTTTCGTCTGACACAAGAGCATCCATCCGAAAAGTTGCTAAGTTCTTGCTCTAAACTTTTTGAACATCTGTAGTACGGCAGTCTACCTCTAAAGGCAGCGTCTCGGCAAAAGTTCGTTTTCCACTTTTCACTTTTCCAGAGTCTTCTCGCCATGAGGATTCCTAGGCTTTTCAGCGCATGAAAATGGCAAATATGAGCTTTTTTTCGGAGGTATCTAGTTCATGTAGCGAAGATACGCAGCAAGCTTTCGCGCCCCGCCTTCCTCGTCGGGCCCCGCCCACTTGCACGTATTTTCTCCACTGAACGCGGACCTGTAAAGCGGAAAAGCTCATTTTCGCCTTCAGGCGGTGAAAAGCCTAGATATGGGTATTGTGGCGAAAAGGCTCCGAAAAGGTGAAAATCTTGCCGAGACACTGCCTTTAAGTTCTGTGATAAATATAGAAGACGATATGATACTCAGAACTACAACTGTATAATTCCACTCTGTCAACCAAAACCACAAAGATTATCTGCCACGCGGGGCTTCGATTACGCACACCTCACACTTGAGTAATTAAACCTTTACTTCACTAAAAGTATACAATAAAATGACGAGCAAAGTTGATATAACACGCGAAGAATTAGCAATCAATTTAATCACTGACACAGCAGTAAATAATACATGGTCAAATATTTGTAAAAGTGAATATCTCTTACTCTCAAAAACTTGTGAGTCATGAGTTCAAAGCTTTTTCAAAAAAAGCGGAATTCTTGTCGTATGAAAAAAAAAACCGATCAACGTAATGTTGCAAACTCAATGATGAAAGAGTGATCGCAAGTGTTGGCTCTTGCAGTTCTATGTCTACACGATGAGCGGTTGAGAATATCTTGTGATAGGGAAAATGAAGTCAATAAGCCGGCCCAGCGCTTAATTTGAATCCCGATTCGCCAGTTGGACTTCGCCCTAGGCCGTGCATTCGGCAACCATATGGTGCACCTGCTGCCCTGAATCACTCGGTCGCGCTGTTTTGATGACCCAAAGTAAAGTTGCAAGAACGAGGATAATGTATCTTGCAAATCTCGAGGGATAACTTGTTTTCTTCTTCTCGCTAACAATCAGTTTCTTGTTTTTTCGTACTGGATGCAAAGCATTTGCCCTACATCTAACGAGCTTTGCAGCTTCCACATTTGACTGCACACCACCGTTTTCATGGTGACTAATTTCACAACAAAAGCATAAGTAAGCCCATGACTCTAAGTAGACACATATACAACAACTTATTACTCACAAGTCGTAATGGCACACATTTCTTCCTAATTTTAATTAGCCAGAATTGCAGCAGTCCGTGCGCTGAGCTACACTTGCACTTTTGATTGTTTACTTTAAAGGCAAAGTCCACCCAGAATCTCGACTTCCTTATTTTAGTTGTTCCGGGGTCTTCCCACTTCCATGATTCCGCATACGAAGTCGGCAATTCGCGAAAATCCCAACAATCGCCGTTCCAGAGAACCCCGCAGGCGGGTTTTTTGAACGGGTAATTGGCTGAGCGCGCAATGGGCGGGCATGGATGGAGAGGGTGGTGCCGCCTGAGGGTCCTCGTGCATATTCGTTATTCCGGAACAATTTTCTCGCTTCCGAAGCAACATTTTGCGCCGCGATTTGGGCATTGGTTTGACAAAGGGACCTAATATCATTCGCTACCAAAAGCTCAAAACCCTCATCTCAGGCTGGACCGAATCGCGGCGCAAAATGTTGATCTGTGCCTTTGAACAGATCTCGGCTGAAGGCGCATAGTCCTTTTTTCACGCTGCAGCAATAGGCTATAGCAGTCGCTGCAGATGTCCGCAGGGGATCCCTTTCGGCGACATGCCATGCTATACCCGGTATAGCATGGTATGTCGCCGATTCAAGCATATTGAATTTCTTCATGCTCTCTTTGTTTGCCTTATTCTATTGAAAAAAGTCGGTTTTGCCTTATCCGGACCCATTTTTTCAAATAAGGATATTGCTTCTTTTCTTGCACGAAATTTGGTAAAACTTTATGGATGTAGGGTCAACCTCCTGCCACGTGTCAAAAAAGGAATTGACTTGTCAACCACATGTATAATAGGTTTGATGTAAGCTTCCGTTTTTATTCCATAGAAGCCATATTTTTAGTCAAAAGTTTCATGAATGAGCTTTAAAATTATGAAAATGACATCCTCTGTTTAAACACATCAGGTTTTCTTAAAACAGAGAAATGGGCTATTGTTCTGTGACCTAAAGGACGAAGCAATATGTAGCCAGGTACTTCAAGCCATAATTTACATAATTTCCCGGCTAAATTAGCATGGGAAACAGTGAGGATCAAAATTTCTTTAGATCGTTGCTCAAAGCTACTGAGATGTTTTAACAAACTTTTAAAACTGTATTGCTTTTAGAAGAGGCCGCTGAATGGCTTTCGAATCAATCCAAAGCTCTCGTACCTAACTAAAAAACTTGAAAAAACATGTCAAACTGGCCCCAAACACGTCAATTTTTATCTGACGCGCGGCAAGAAGACGGGCCTCAGATGATCTATGAATAAATTCTAGTCTAAAGCACATATTTCATGGGAACATTTTTAAAAAATTTGTCCGGATAACGGAAAAGTACTAAAAATTCATTCTAAGAATAGCAGTTTCTTGTATTAAAAAACCCACCACAGTTTACTTCTTCGCACAGTCCAAAATATAGCTCTGTTAGGGTACATTAAGTGTATCTTGCAAATCGAATGCAATCATAACCCTGGTCAATAATTTTTCGATTAGCATCTGTAGAGAGCATACCTATTTTTCAAGTGAATCTAGAATACTTTTGAAAAGGATGATCGACAGAAGTTCTAAATACAACGGAAAGGATAACTCGTACTGAAACCACCAATATGGTTCCCCGTGTGTTGCGAATTGGCGTGCTCAGCATCCTTGGCCAAGCTCGACTGCCTTACATTACACACCAAATTCCGGATCAGCATCAGTGCCCGCCCTTCGGAGCTTCGGCTTCATCACTGAACGCGGACAGTAACAAGAGAACGAAATCACTGCATAGCCATTACTACTGCTGATTCAAAGCGAAAAGCGAACTGGAAGGCACCGGTCAAGCTGACCGTCTTCCGCTGCCAATGTTCCTCAGGCTCAATATTCATGCGTGACGTTCGGGTTAACTCAGCCGCGGGTAGAGGAACGAACGCCTCAATTCGGCACCGTCGCCGCGGACTGCTGGTCCTTCCGTCCTACTGTTGTGCATCGTGTTAGGACCAGTGGTCCGCGGAGGCGGTGTCTAGTTGAGGCGTTCGTTCCTCCACCCCTCAGCCGCCATTCAAACACCAAGGTTGCCATGCTCAATTTGTGTGATCGATCGCATAGTCCCAGCTCTCAAAAAGTGCTCCCTTCGCAACTTTCAAAGTTGTTTTCCATCAGCCATGAGCCAACCTCAACGCCCACTAATTAACTCCTTGAATCAGAAACCACCATCTGCCCAAAAATACCAGAGAAACCCCAAGCATCGCGACATATGGTATTATACAGACTGTAAATTAGTGGGCACATGCGGAAAGTTTTTCGGACTGTTGTAACATAGCGAAACATTTTTTCAGCGAAAAACACTTTCACAAAGGCAATGCTTTTTACGAGACATGCTTACCTGATTGGCTTTGAAACAATTTATTTCGATGCAGTACGTAAAGAGATGGACGATTGCCTTTTGTGGACTATCTTAAGCATAATTAGCAATGGAAAACTCATATGTAGTAGTTGTATAGAAATTCTACTAAGGGTACGCGACGATTTCGGAATGCTATCTGCACAATTCTATTTGAAAAAGCGGTAATTTTCATACTGATGCCACATTCCCTGAATAAACTTTGAGATTTTTCCGAACACGAGAAGAGCCTTTTTAAAGCTTAACTGGTTGTTCGGGTAATGTCTTGCAAAACTTTTGCTCTGTCCAGGTGTGGTAGTCCTCCAAAGTCGTCGACAAAGTGATGCCTGCTGCGGAAAGAGTTGCGATCGCAAGCAAAACAAAAGCTTGCAATTTTCTATGCTGATAATGCGAAATTCGAAATTGTGGGCTTGAGGTCGGCAGCCTCCTCATTTGCAAGGATTTTCTAATTACGAAACATGTCGCTAGAATTGAATCGAGTGGGAAAACATGCGTCAGAAAATGTTAAGGGTGCACGGAAACTTTCTTCACAACCTGATGCGGAACATAGCCTCGGCGCTCCGCTCGAAAAGTGGCATGCATCGCGCGATAAGCGGCAGCCGACTCTGCTCAAATAAAACCTGGACGGGAGAGATGAAAATGACACAGCGAAAAGAATTTTGTTTTGCCTTTTCAAGGAAGTGGCTTTAAGACGTTTTGTTGAAAGAAGAACATATCGTAAGCACCGAAGGCAGATTCGATAGACATTGGTGTATTGTTTTGTTAACAGATCTTTTGACAAGATCTCACATATTGGAAATCTGAGTACTAATACGACAATCTCATCAAAAACGTACTTTTGAATTTCTTGAATTGCTTTTAAGAGTGAAGCTCCTTGCGAAGCAAGGAGCTTCACTCTTAGCAGTGTACTAATGGTAAGTGTGTAGCAAAGACGCCTAATTCTATTGTGCATCCTGATAGTTTGCGTCGTCGCCTCGATTTATATCAGGTCCATAGCCATCAACACCGAGATTAGACTATTCCACACGTCTTTACGCCGATAGAGGTGCTCAGTGCACAAGCTCGCTAGTTCACAAAATTATCAAGTTATAAATATTACTCTCCAAGATGAGTATTATGCAAAAACGTAGAAGACATCTTTATACACTTATTTGCTGATCAAGGTAAAACGATGTTCCCATCATGCAGAATATGCCATAAAAAATATTAAAAACTACATGAAAAAGATGTACCGATGAGCTTGCTCGAACATAATTTTGTATTAGTGTGATGAAAAAGTAATGGCGTCAACCAACACCAACTCAAACGTCATACATATGATTGTTTAATACGCATGCATGCTATCGCTTCTATCTGTCAAATCTTTGA